AATATAAAAAATAAAACCTTAAACTTGCTGGAGCGAGATTCAGTATCTCAGAGAAAAAAGGGAAGACAAACAAAAGGGAAGAAATGCGGCAGAATGAAAAGGAAGCACGGGGAATGAATGAGTTATCCTTGAGACTGTTTCTTCATTTACCCAACGCGCAGGAGCACCTTGTATGTTGACAACAAAGGCAACAGAGCTCAGGCTGGGTCTGTGAGTATGGTTTGTAGAGCTTAATGTTAAAAAGCATTGGTCAAGTTGGATTAGAATAGTAACTTGAACTGAAAATTCTAAGATAATTATGAGCCATGTCCTCGTGTAATAATTAACAGCCATATCAATTGCTTATATGAAAGTACTACCTTCTAATTCCTTGTAAAGCCATTCCTTGGTTGTGGTTAGGATACTCTCCAAGCCAACACAATCTTCCTGTCTCTCCTGAAATCCCAAAATCAGATCAGCAAGTAAAGTCCTATCTGGTCTCAGTCAGTTACTGAGATTTTAAGCCCCACCTGGCACAGTTCCCTCTTCTGTTTCTCAATCACCTATGTGCTTAAGGGCAAAGCACTGGACCTTTCTCTTTTCAGTTCTTGCTCTCAGCTTTTCCTCTTTTTTTGTCAAGACATTTGGACTCCCATCCCTGCATTTGGTTCTGTGGGTATGGTATCAGCGTTGATTTACTCTCCTTTCCCCCTCTGTGTTCTAGCAGACATAATCTAATCTGTGTTATGTGACAAGACCAATTAGTCTCACCCACTCAGCAGCCTTCTGTCCCTCCCCCTCAGCTGCTCTCCTCTTGGCACTCCATCTCTTTTAGGAAGTAAAGCTGGGAGCCAAATTTCCAAGCAGAATTCATTAGATGAATATGCAGGTCCAGATTGCATAAATGTGCTTGCAACCTCCAGTGGAATTCAGACTCAATGCTTCTGACTTGTCTCATGTTTTACATTTCTCAGGAGATTTCCAGCTACAAAAATTTCTTCATCATCTAGAAAGATGTACAGACAAGATGAGGAGAAATGGAAGGTCCAGAACTGAGCTAAATAAAATAGTACCAAATGCAAGCAGGTACTGCCATCATTTTCTTGATTATGCTAAGGTATTGGCTACTTTGCAAAGAGAAACCTGCTGATGTGACAGGTGTAGGTGACCTGCAGGGTCCAGGTGACGGATGGACAAGGCAAATCTTTAACAATTACACCACGATCAAGTCAGTCACCCCAAATGAGAACAGGACCCCCAGGAAAAGCATAGAAGCATGGAACAGCAGGTGGTGTGTGGTTTTGATCAGTACTATTATTACATGCCAGATTGGAGCCACCAAAGCCTGGTAGAGAAGGTACCGGGAAAACCTGGCCCATGTAAGTATTGTGAGACCAAAGACAGACAACACTTAAGGTTGTTTAATTTAGTTTCTGCTATCAGGAACGACTTTATATTTACTTATATACATCATTATTTTTAATGTCATGACTTCAAAAGGAAAAATGAATGTTCTGTAGTAATTGATAGAGTAATTCATTGATGGCTGATAGGCTAAAAGTCAAAGCTAATACCTATACTTACAATTGTACATTATCTGACAGGAAGGTCAGAAGTAATTATCTATGCGGCAACAGCCAAATTAGACCATGAACTATTGTTTTTCAATGAACATTAATAAAACCAGTATCAACATAACCCCCCTATTTATCTGTATCCATGAGGGACAATGTTGACCCCTCCCACATTAAGATCCCAGGTAGACTGCCTTGAGGTAACTCCAAATTTTCATCTAAATTCATAAATACAAAACAAGGAAAAAAAGAGATAGAGGAACAAGCCAGGAATAAACACTTGTCTAATGAATATTTTTTAAATCTCTTGGATCTGAGCTCTCAAATAATATAATGATATTTCATGTGTGTCAGTTTTCTCTCACACTTTGAATTTGAACTGCAGAGTTCCTTGTCATCTGTTGCCAAGATACCGCTAACAGGAGACTCCAAGGTATTTAATGAGGCATCTCAGACCCCACCCTTATGACCTAAAACCCAACCCAATCACAATCTACAATGGTGTCCCATCTGCAAGACATGCTGGGGCCATGGTGACACAAAGCTTGTGGGAGTCATCAATCTATGTCTGATTTGACTTAATGCCCACTTCAAGACATGGAACCCATACCCAACAATGCTTGAGTGACCAGGAACCAGAGACTAGATAGCCCAGGGACCTAGAGCACAACCAGGTGATACTGGCCTTTAAAGGAACACAGCAATAAAATGACTCCTAAAACATCCTGCTGTACTCACAGATTAGAGCACTCCTCTCCCATCATCAGAGAAGCTTCCTGCTGCAGCCGACAAGAGCAAACAGAGGGACCCAGGGATGGACAGCACAGAGAGTGAGAGAGCTTGGGACACTCGGCCCTAAACAGGGTATAATCAACTCCTTCTCCACAGTGCTCCAGGAACCCTGCAGAAGAGGAGGTGGAAAAAATGAAGACCCAGAGGGGATGGAAGGCACCAGGGAAACAAGGCCCCCATGACAACACTATTAATGCACATTTGAGCTCATAGATACTGAGGCAGTATGAACAGAGCCTACGAGGGTCTGCACTAGATGGGGTCTTAGAGCTGCGAGACTTAGGCACATACCCCCATCCCAAAGTCAGAAGCAATCTTCAATTGATAACTACTTACAAACGAAGATTTAGTTTTCTTCAAGGGAGTCTCCCTAGGAAACAAACTACTCTCAAGGGTAGGCTGTATGTTCCAGCAGCAGCTGGCCAACAGAAAAGAACTCATTAGCATCTTTGGAGGATCTTTATCTCATAACATTGTGCCAGGGCTATTTTTAATTTTAAATCTATTTATATATCGTTTCTTTCCTTTTTACCTTATAGGTCTTTCACATACATATTGTGATTTCCAGTTTTAAGTTTTTATGGGACTCCTGAACGTGCAAATGAGTGGGTTTATGAATCTAGATCTATTATTTGTGCCTTTTTTGGCTCTTTTCCTTTTGTTTGTTTGTATTGTCCTAGTCCAATGTGTTAGCTGTTGTTTTATCTTATAATATTTTATTTTATTTTGTTTATTATCCATTAGAAGTCGGTTTGTTTCTAATAAAAGACGGAAAGGGGGTGGATGCAAATGGGAGCCGAGGTGGAACGGAACTGGGGGAGTAGAGGAAGGGGAAATTGTAATCAGAGTGTATCATACCAGGGAGAAATCTATTTCAAATAAAAGAAAAAAGGAAAGCAACAGATCCTTTATACACATGTATCCGTGTATGTAGGAAAATATAAAACGCGTCTGGTAGTATGACCAGCTTACCTCAGTTTCCTAAAACTTCTCTGGGCTGGAATTGGAAATGATGCGTCTTGGGATAGACACTGCTCTGCCCCAGACAAACCCAGGGTCACCTGGTTTGAGGAGGGCAAGCACTCAACTGAGAATGGTGTTTGGTTTTTGAAGGAAGGAAGTGACTGGAAACCAGATGTATTTGTCGTAAGTTTTTCTATGTAGGTGAAAGAATGCAGTGTGGTCAGTCTCAGAGTGAGGGAACTGAAAGAAAAAGACAAAATGTATTTAATTCTTTATAATTAAAATATAATTACATCACTTTCTCCTTCCTTTCCCTTCCTTTCCCTCCTCCCATGTTCTGCTCCTCATTCTCAAATCAACAACTTCTTTATCTTTGATTATACTTATTATTATTTAAAAATATTGACATACTACATATGAACAAGTTATAACTATATATAATTCTTGTAGTATAAACTTTAATACAATTGGATTATGTTAAAAGGATTTTAAAATCCATTTTATTAATTCATCTTGTGTCAAGAATCTTCCCATCTTAATTCTGGTATAAACCATCATTTACTTTGGTCCAGTCAATGCTTAATACATCCTTCTACTACTGAAAAAAATCTCTGTTGTCCATTGTGTTAGGATCTTTATTCCTTCCTCTGACACATCCTGTACATGAATAGACTGAACATCCTGGACATTAAAAATGGGATTCTTCAATCTAGATGTCTTAGTTAGAGTTTCTATTGATGTGAAGAGATGCCATGACTATGCTTTAGTTGGGACTGGTTTAAAGTTTCAGAAGTTCAGTCTATTATCTTCGTGGTGGTGTTCAGGCATACATGCTGCTGGAGAGGAGCTGAAAATTCTATATCCTGATGTGTAGGCAGCCAAAGGAGTCTGTGTCCCATACTGGGTATAGCTTTAGGGTGGAGACCTCAAAGCCCACCCCTACAGTGAGACATATCCTTCAACAAGGCCATACCTACTCCAAAATGGTCACACCTTCTAATAATGTCATTTCCTATGCAGTAAGCCCTCAAACACATGAGTAATGGGGGTCAATTACTAGTCAAACCACAACATTCTACTCCATGACCCCCCATAGGCTGGGAGTAGCTTGAAGCCTGGGAGACCTCAAAGTCTGCCCCCATAGTGACACACTTCCTCCAACAAGGCCACACCTCCTAATAGTGGCAGTCCCTATGTACCAGGCACTCAAACACATGTTGCAGGATATTTAATCACACTGTGTGAAAGGCAGTGCTTGACTCAACAAAGCCAATAGCTAGGCAGGAGATGATAGGCAGGACTTCAATAGAGAAATGGGAGCTCTGAGCGGAATCTGAAGTTCAGCAAATTCATCAGCAAGATGCAGAAGCAGTTGGATGTATAGTATGGAGGAGAAGTGACAAACCACATGACAGAATATATATTAACATAAACCAGTTAATTTAGGTTACAAGAGCTAGTTGGGAGCAAGCCTAAGCTAAGATCAAGCTTTCATCATTAATAAGAAGTCTCTCTTTCAAAGAGAGTCTGGCTGCAGTCTCTGGGGGTTACACTATGCAAACCACAATACTAAGTCAGCAAAAATTTCTTTTTCTGACCAGAAACTAGGGCCCCAAAAGCAACATATCAACAGGGGTCCTGTAGGGCAACCGCAGCTGATTAGAATCTGTGAGTCCCAGTAGGGCACTGAGAGCACTGTACCTGCTATAAGAAAGGCAACAAGGGGTACATCCGGGTTCCCGGAACTCCTGACACCAACTGTGGCTGCAACGATAAACCGCACACTTGTTGAAGGTATAGGTAACTGATTATTGTAGAAATTACTTACAAGAGAAAATGGGCAACCCATTTTGCTACCAAACCGGAAGCCAAAAAGAGGGCGAGAGGCTCTGCTGCTTCGACTTTTATTCCTTCCTCCATACATGCCTCTAGACACGCCCCAAAATGGACCTGGCTAGTGGTGTAGTTCACAGCCCTGTCTCTAGTCATGCCCAATGTGGGTGTGATTAGCGGCATGGTTCCGCCTTTTCCTTACCACATCCGTATGCGTCTCTAGAGTGCCATGTGGCTAATGGCAGAGTCCTAAGTTTCCCCCTACAAAGGGGCTATAGTAGAACACCTAATAGTGAAGATCTAATGCCAGGTCTGCTATTCTAGTCTCGACATCTTCTGTCTGATGACCTAAAACCTCTCCTGGGTGGGGAGCATTGCTTATAAGCGTGAAAAGTAACAGTATCGAGGCTACGGTGACTTAAATACAGCTTTCAAAGATGTGTATTTTAGTTACTGCGTGGTGGTGATGCTATATTCAGAGATTCCTTCACTGACATTTTTGGGGGGGGGGCAGAAAGAAGAAGGCAGAAATAATTAGTGATAAATCAAGGGAGGAGTGAAAGAAGGACACGACAGGGAGGAGAAGAGGGAAGGGAGCAGTTGAGAGTAAGAGTGGACCCTTGGGGAAAGGAACAGGGATGGCAGGAAGAGGAAAGATGATGTGTGGCCTGAGTGCAATCACTGTGAATATATACCACAAGCCATCGTCGGAGAATTCAGAAGATGATATAACACATAAAATAATGGAAGTAAGTGATAACCTAAGAAATAAAAAGTACACACTGCTGAGTCCCTGCTTCCATGTGAGTTTCAATGCCTTGGGGAGTTGGGGGAAACACCAACTTATCTTGTACTTGAGGACATAGCCAGCATGAATTCATAACCACTGAATCATTGTTGGACACTGAAGTCATTTGTAGTGTTTTTTTCTTATAAATAACACCGTGGTTAACACACACAGGAAGCCTTATAGACCATCAGACTTTTTCAGTTGAATAAATTGTAGTGGAATTTCTTAATGAGGTCCAAGTATCAGTTCATATTGAAGTATTTCTTCCATGAAGCTGTATGCCCTCTGAACTTTTGTCTTATGTTTATTCATACTCCTTTGGATCTTTATAATCTGATAGGAAAATTTGATTGTTTCGAGTTTCAATTTTTAAGCAATAACAATAAATATTTAATACCTTTATTTCCATTACATTTTATATGTATATTTTATCTTATGTCTATTGGCAATTTTCCTACCAGAACCTTTGTTTTGTTCCTACAGATTTGTGCATTTCTTGTAAATTTAATTTACTGGTCCTGTTCTTCGGATATGTTAAACATTTTCCTTTTTCCATCCTAATGGAATGACGTTTTTAAAGTGTTTTGGTACCAACACTATTTTTAACTTTTTAAGTAGTTTCTTTAGTAGTAACTGGTATGGTACTGTTATTTTCACTTCACTCTGAATGAAACTGAGGTTAAGTGATAAAAGAACATCCCCTAAATTATTCAGCACTTGAGGGCACGCCAAATTCATTATCTACAGTCAGATTCCTAAATCAGTCTCTTTACTTCAAATTTGTAAGTGGTACTCTGCATTACTTCCTATGACAGAATGCTGAGTAGCATGAAAAAATTACTGTCCACTTTTTGCGATTGCTGTTGACAACTGGAAATTTAAAATTATTAAGGTGACAGAAGCGCAATGTGGTGAAAGATTGAAGCTGCAGTCAATAGGATTGTTTGTCAGGGGTCTGGGGTCTTCGCTTGACAGATGAGACCAGTTCACAACAGCACTATGGAATACAAAGTAAATACTCTGACACCTCTTGTCTCTCTCGTCATTCTTAGGAGTTCCCATTGGCTGACACCAATAAAACCCAAGGCAGAAGAGAGCCCACTGATGGAGTGAATTGACTGACACAGTCATTGAGCAGGTAGAAAAAGGACTTGAAGGGTCAAGGAGAAGATTTCTAGAAGACTCCACTTCCTAGTCTTACCAGAAAAGGATACCCACCAGGGTCAGAGCAAGATGCAGATGATAGCTTTGAAAGACATAAACCACCCTGTGTTTTTCTAGTCTTCCTTACCTTCTGCAGTTGCCTGTGTACTTCACTATTCAGGTAGTTAAAATGAATTATCTGTAATCCCTCTTCCTTATTTTTCTTTTCAGACTGAGTGGTACTTACCAGGTGGCCCACAGTGGTGTAGAATGTCTTCGCATACACCATGGGAGGCATTATTCAACTGACAACAACTGAGGCTTCATAGTTGTTTTCCACAATTATAAATTGAGGTACAGATCCAAGAATTGTAGTTTCAGTTCTACATTGTAATATCTATGATACCTTGCAGTCAAATTAAATTTCAAGTCCACATGTTGGCAATATAAAATCTGTCTTGCTTCACAATGATATACTGGTTTCTCTAAAACAAATGAGAAAAAATTTAAGCCTGTTTCTCTTTGCTTAACTCCACCATTAACTTTTATAATAAGATAAAGCTTACAAATTTCCTTGAGGCATTTAAACCTGCCCTGGTCTGAGATCACTGTTTAACTAGCTTGACTTTGTCCTTTAAATCTCTCTCTCTCTCCCACTTTCTGTATGTGTGTGGGTCTGTCTGTCTGTCTGTCTGTCTGTCTGTTTCTCTCTCTCTCTCTCTCTTCACACACACACACACACACACACACACACACACACACACACACACACCCCTCTAGTGATTAAGACTGATCATTAGAAGCCAGGCAGTAGTGGTGCACACCTTTAATCCCAGCACTCAGGAGTCAGAGGTAGGCAGAGCTTTAATCTAGAGTGAGTTCCAGGACAGCCAGAACTACACAGAGAAATCCTGAATCAAAAGACAAAAAAATTGATCATTTAATTCTCAAACATATTGTAGAATTAAAATTTTGTTGGAGCTAGGATTTGAACCTGTGTTTTAGCAGTGAGCTATACCCCAAACAACTTTAGATTATTCTCTACCTCTTTGACTCATCATGGTTTTTCCCGAATGTTTAATCTTTAAATGTTAGTTTCTTTGATAGCTCAAATAGTGTATCCTTGTTGCTCTTTTCCTAAGTTTCTCCCCAAAAGAAAGAGATCTGTCCTTTGTGACACATATTTTTTGGTGTAGATACTATTAGTTTATTTTTTTAATTACAGAGTAATTACATGTGACACACCTTCTTTAACTCACAAATCCAACTAAGCCTGTTGCCATTAAGAATAATTTAGATAGTGGGGCAAAGGTGTTCCTTCATCTCTGGATATGCTCACGTTTGAAGTAGGCTATGGTTGTCTACAGTCAAAAGTAGTGTTGCTCTATTAGGCCGGTAGATGATGGCTATTTGAAAGTAGCCCAGGGACAAATGTTCTATTGAAGTAGATATTATTATTTCTAACAAAATGTGCATTATCTTATATTTTATATCTATAAACATAATACACACTGTTTCTTCCAAAAGTATGAAGTTAATTGTTGCAGAAAACATCTACTAGCATTAAGAAAAACAGAAATGTCAGAGAATACAGTCAGGACTTAGGAGCACAAGCTTCAACAGCAACAAAACAAAGCAAACGATGACAGCACGTAGTACTAAAACAAACCAAACATTCAGCTTTTAAACTTATGGAAAATGTCTATTTGTAAATTATATTTTAGTTTGATTCTGACTCTGGTTTAAACGCTTGACACAACCGTAAGCAACACACAGGCTTTAATGACACCTGTGATGGCTTATCATGAGCCTGCACACACTGAATCCTTACCGAGTACCTAGTTTCTTGAAGGTGCTAGGCCTCTGAGTACACACATTGAACACTGATACCAAAAGCAACAGTTTGTTTCTGAAGCTTGTAAAACTAGCAGAAAAGTAAATGTCTAGATAAAACACTATGTGTGAGTCCAATGAAGCGAGGTGCTTTCAGGAGAGTCTGGGAGCAGAGAAGGAGGGAGAACACTCAAGATTCAGGACCAAATAAGTCCAGAAACACTTACTTTAAAAATCTATATTTCTCTGCTATTTGATTTTGTTTTGATGTTTTCTCTTGGTGCATTAATATGAATTATGTAGTGTACTTAGAAAGATCCAGCATCGGTATCATATTGAAGTTTATATTTCAGATGGATTAAATGGTTAAATACTAAAATGTTAGATAGTGTTTTTAGCCAATAAATCACACATTGTATCAGCTTTATTATTTGTTGTACACATAAGTTTGATGACATCTAAGGTTTCATATGTAGTCTTTAAAGTCTTTCAATGTTATGTTTATTTTTCAGAAATTAATACTTTTATTTTTGCATCCACCTATATCACAGTTATCAGACTTTTAAAGAACATATTCAGTACACATGTCCAGTCAATGACACTATACTTTCTTTTTTGTAAATTTTTTATTTTAGAATTTTGAAGCCAGAGAGGGTTGAATTAAAATCTTGATGTGGTGACCATTTACTTTGTCTATTTCCTTGTTTAAGCAATCTTCCTTGTATAGGCAATCTCCCAAGGAGGCATACATTCTTGCACCATCTGTTTTCCTGGTGGGAAACTGTACTCCTGTGGTGTGAAAAGACTCACTGCTCACTGATTGTACTTTTGAGAACAGACTTCCTGTCTGGAAGAAAAGGTATCATGCGTACCCTGCTGTGTATGAACACCTACAACCTAGGTCAGACCTTTGAAGTGTCTCCCATTTGCCAAAGGAACTCCCTTTCCAACTTCCTACAATCTTCACCATCTTATCCTCCAATTCCAGATTAGGTGTTGTTTTAGGCATCTCAGATTCCACTTGGATTCTCTTGTCTCATAGAGAAATGTATTGCAATGAGTCCTCTTTATATACACTGCCATGATTTCTACTAGAAACCCTTGGGTACTCCACTATGATCATATATTTCCCCAAAGCAACATAGACAATTAAGACATATAATATTGCCTGATAATCATGACATGGTTCATATGAGTGACTGGAACAAATGAGCAGAAGAGACAGTGCTATCAGAGATCTAGAGTAAACTAAGCCAGCAGAGGAAGTCCTCTTAAGATTGTACCGATAAGGGTTGCATTTGGAATTCAAAAACAAGAAGTGTTTAGACTTTCCATTTAGAATATAACCATAGGAAGCCAATGGGTAGTCAAATCCCCAGTAGAGAGTGAATGAAAACAGATATGCCCTGATGGGGGAATGTCCTTCTGTATGTACATTTATCTTATTGTTTTATCAGTTAAACACTGCCTGGCCAGTAGCCAGGCAGGAAGAATAGGTGGGGCTATCAGATGAAGAGAAATCTGGGGAGAGGACTTGGAGAGTGAACCGCCAGAGAGACACCATGTAGCCACCAAAGGAATAACATGCTGCAGCATTCTCCAGTAAGCCAAAACCACATGGAGATACACAGATTAATAGAAATGGATTAATAATTAGCCAATAAGAAGCCTGAGCCATTGGACAAACCATTTATAATTAATATAAGTCTCCATTTGTTTTTGAGGGCCTAAACGGGAAGGTGGGACAGAAACTCCATTTACAGCGTCCCACCCAAGGAGGGTCTTGGGGAGAGGGTGGTGAGCTGTGTTCTCTACTGGGGTGATGCTTGGAGATCCTGGAGCTGGGGGAGGGGTGGCAAACACAGTGCATTTTGGTTTAAGGCTATTAAACAGAAAGCATGAATTAGCTGCTAACAACAAAAGTTTGGAGAACATTTAATGTAAAAATGATCTGAACAAAGTCAGTGGCCAGAAGAAATGTGGATGTACTAGTGAGGAACAGTCAGCAGTGTCTGTGGAATGTCAGATCATGGGAGTTAGAAAAACAGAGTTGAAGTTTCACTCTGTAGAACCCAGAGTGCCACAGATCCATGCCCTCACACCACGACGGGGAAGCAGCAGCTGAAAATGAGCACCTGACCCAGAGCCTCCAGAAGCACAGCAGCAGGGCTTCTGCTTATGTCCTAGTGCTCTCTGCTATCCTACACTCTACGTTCATGTAGAGTTTCTCGTAAGTTTCTAATATGGTGAAATGAAGATACAGAATTGACACCGTTGCTCATTTCCTATATCACTCCCAGGTAAGCTTGTCCTCTGGAGCGTTCCCCAGACTAACTCTGTTCTTCCAACATTGCCCATCACAATGTCTCGTCACATTTTCTACTTCCATGAATTAGAAACATTTAGATTAAAATTTATCTCAGCTGCATCTTGCAGAGCAATCAAAGTGCATTCTGGAAAAACATGTTTTGAAACATTTATTTAGATGTAATGTTTCAAACGTTGGGAGTTGGCAGGAGGCAGATTAGCCTCTTATGTCGGCATTGCTTATGAACACGAATGAAATGATACTTAGATTGTATTATTTTTTTCAAGTAAAGAGAATGGAGCTATGATACTCCCATAAGTCATCAACAGAGAAGATAGAGCTCTGTGAGAATTTGTGTTCCAGAATTTTCTAAGCACCCAGTGGTAGAAAGTGAAATATTTCCTCACCCCTCTCCAAACATATACTCTTCACAGACCAGTACTGTCTATGGGATATTATGACCAGCACAGTAATCTGTGGAATGTAGTGTATGGCTCCAAGTATAGACTTCTGAGCCTTTGTCCTAAAGGAATTTGGAGTTTATGTCTTTCTATTTACTAGGAAGGTCATAAAGGAGAAAAAAAAACCTATGATTTAAGAAGAAGATAAAAATGTGTCTTCCTATGAGCAGGTAACTTTGAGATTTCTTTTCCTTTTAGTCAAAGTCATGCTCATTCTTACAAGACTTTTAAAAAAGTGAACAAGGAAGGAAATACTTTATAGTACAGTAGTTGATGTCATCCTACCATTGAAACAAAACTACATCTGTGGTACCTCATCAGCATCTTATTTTCTAATAAATGAGGGCTAGGAGAACTCTGCCAGTTTCTTAAAGAAGGCTCTAGAACAATCCAAGGCAGTCATGGGAAATGGCAACCTGTAGCAGAGACACACTTGGTCCAGGTGCTGAAATTAAGAGATGTCTTTATTATTGAACTTCTCTTGTACATTTTCTTACATTTTCATGATAAGCTCTCACATGTACCTTTGTGCATACACACACACACACACACACACACACACACACACACACAGTTTGTGGGTTATGATCTCTAGCCTTCGTCATGTGAAGGAAAGCAGAAAAGGGTGGGCTTGTTGGGAAAGAAAAAAGCTGACGTGTTAAAACACACAGAAGCAAAATATGTAAGTGGTGAAAAATGAATTGGGCAGGGTGCAAAGACTCTTGGAACCTGTTTTGTGAGGCTTCAGGAAGCTCTCTCTAGATTCACAATGATGCTTATGCCTTGTCAGCATTTTTCCTTTATTTGTACAGGACTTTATGACATATCTAAGAATAATAAATAATTTATAAGTTGCAATGGTGGCCTGGAA